CCTCCCCCGTTACCGGAGGCCTGACACCCTCCCCCCGCCCGTTCGCTTCCAGCTGAGTCCTGCCGCGGACAGCGAGGACCTGACGGACAGCGAGGAGAGCGTCTACTCGGGGCTGGAGGACTCGGGCAGCGACAGCACCTCCACCGGGGAGGAGGAGGAGGAAGAGGAGGAGGAAGGCCTCGGCGGCACCTCGCCCCCCCGGACACACGTAAGGGCCCCAAACCGGGGGGTGGGTGGCCTCTGAAGGCTGGGAAAAGCTGCTTTTGGGGGCGAGGCTCATCCCCCCCGCCCCTTCACCCCGGTGCTGGCACGGGAGGTCTGCACCCCTGCTCTGCCCACCCGTGGTGTGAGGAGGAGGAGGAGGAGGAGGAAGGGGGGGGAGGAAGGGCCCGTGCCTGGTGTTGATGTCCCCTGTTTGTAAATTGTGGGGGAAAAAAAACAAAATCTGAGCCGTATGTGGGAACCGTGGGGAGACATCTGGGAGGAGGGACCTTGCTTAGAGCTGTGGGGCAGCACAGCCTGGAGAAGAGAAGGCTCTGGGGAGACCTTGGAGCCCCTTCCAGTCCCTCAGGGGGCTCCAGGAGAGATGGGGAGGGACTCTGGATCAGGGAGGGGAGCCACAGGAGGAGGGGGAAGGGTTTGACACTGAAAGAGGGGAGATTGAGATGAGATCTGGGGAAGAACTTGTTTGGTGTGAGGGTGGTGAGAGCCTGGCCCAGGTTGGCCAGAGAAGCTGTGGCTGCCCCATCCCTGGAGGGGTTCAAGGCCAGGTTGGAGGGGGCTTGGTCGGGCAGAGCAGAGGGGCAGGATGACCTCCCTCCACCTGCTGGTCACACTCTTCCTGATGCCCCCCAGGATGCCCTTGTTCTCCTTGGCCACCAGGGCACTTTGCTGGCTTTTGGGCATCCTGCTGTCCAACAGGACAGATACTGTTGTGTTTATAAGTAAACTTTTGGCTTTGGGGCAAGAATGGAGAGAAGGAGCTTCTCCTTAGAGAGTAACTCACTCGCTGGCGTTGGAGGGCTGTTTGTTTGTCTTGGAGAGATCCATCTCATTTTGAATGAGATATCTCATTTCTCAAATTCTGGTCTCTTAATTGCAGACTCTTAAAACCTTTGTTTTCTGTTCATCAGCTCTCTGGGAGGCAAAGCCACTTCATTTAGTAGGAGTTAGTTATGAAAACGTTACTAAAAGGCAAGTTCAATTTTACTTGGATGGATTGTGATGGCCCAACCTGCTGGGGGGTTGGGCTTTGGTAGGTTTTTGAGATGGGAGGATTGACTGTGGGCGTCTGTGGCTGCCTCTGAGGGCTTGTGAGGTGTGGGAGCTGCTGGTAGTGTGAGGGGTAGGAAACTGAGACCCACTGAGAGCTGCCGTGGGGCAGTGCCCCTCTGCCATGGGGCAGTAGGAGGATCTGCCCATGAGACCTTGCTCTCCCCTGACCTGGTGTTTGTGATATTTGCTGGTTCTGGCTCTTCTGCTCTTCTGTCTGTGGTCTCGGCGCTGCCTGTGCACACGCTGCCTCCCCCCTTCTGCCACGAGCACCCACCTTTTTTCTTTTATTTTCTAAATTTTGCCCAGTTTCCTGTGCTCTGTAGGAGTGGTTCAGCCGAAGCCATGGGCAAACCCTGCCCGGTTCTTGGAGTTCTCATTCTGTCCAGTTCTTAGTCGCAGGAATGGGAAAAAGAGAAGAAAAATGCCCTCCAAAAAGAAACAGAGACTCTTGAGCGCCCTTGAAGTTAACCCGTGGCTTTGGCTGCTCGTTAGGATCGTTTCCAAGCTACGTTCCTTGGAGGGAACAGGGGATGCTGCTCCCCAGGGCTGTGCCCCAAAATGCTCCGGGGAGCCCTCGTGGGGGTTTAGCCCTGGGGAGAGAGAATGGTTTGAATTGTGCCTCTGCCAGGGGGGGGGTTCAGACGGGGACTCATCCCTGCTCCTTTGCAGGGGGCGGGATTTTAACACCAAATATTCATAGTGATTTCTTAGATGTCTTTTTTGTTCAGCAGGTGGGTGGGGTGACCTCGGTGCTTCTGGGGTTGTTGCTGACTGAGGGTTTGTGCTCTGCCCGTGTGCAGGTGTCTCAGAGACCAGTCTCTTCTCCTTTTGTTCAGCTCCTCCTCGGATAATTTAGCCCTAAGCTTAAAATATGTAGCAAATTATACAGTGTGACCAAGAGCTGTCTCCCCTCTGCCCTTCCACAAGGGGAGTGGGTTGAATGGGCTCCCCAGGAGCGTGGCAGGAGCCGAACTGGCACCCAGGGAGCAGCGAGAGGAGGGTGGGAGGGTAGAGACCACCTTTCCTCAGCAAAGGGATCGGCTTGGTCCCTCCTAGAGACCCAGCCTGGGTTTTTAGAGCCCTCTTGTGTGCTGTGCCAAGTGTGCTCCTTCTAACCCGGGTGGCTGTTTTGCTGTCCCCCTGTCTCAAAACCGAAAGCCCTTCTGTCTCCTGGAAATGTGCTTTGAACCCGCCTTTAGCCCTGCCCAGCTGATCCCAGTTTGCTCCAGCATCACTTGTGCTTCACGGAGAAGCCTCCTCCTCCTCCCCGTCTGATCTTCAGCCTCGATGTTAAAGATGACGGTGTTCTCTGGGAATGGTCTGTCCCTCCAGACAGGCTCTGGAGCACTCTCGCAGGGGTTTGTGCGTGTCCTGGGTCTCTTCCCTTTGGAATGTTCTGACTGTTTGAGCTGATTGAGGCTGGGGAGGATTCCCAAGCTGTTGCTGCTTCCGGAGGCTTCTGGACTACGCACAGGAGAGCTGTGTGCCTCAGGGGGACGTGGAACCCACAGCACGGCCTCCGGCTCTGCCAGAGGGAGGTGGTGGAGAAGGACGGCATGTGGACGGAGAAGGGAAGAGAAGGGAAGCTCACAGATGTGCTGTGAGTGCTCTGAGGTCTCCTGCTGGGAGACCAGACAGCGAGGAGCCTCGCACGCTCGGGTTGCCAGAGCTTTTTCCATAGCCTCAGCATCACGGTCCTGCCAGAGGAGGGTCCCTCTGGGGCTCCGGGAAGAGCCAGGAGCTCTGACCCCCGGACAAGGAGGACACTGCTCATGTCACACCTCACAGCAAGGGGTCTGGACACTGCTCTGCCAACTGACTCCTTTAGTCCTGGTCTCTCACTCCTGCTGGAAAACCTGCGGTGTTTTCTTGGTGAAAGCCAGTGGTTTGGAGGGTGCCGAAGCCAAACTGATGCTCTTTGGCCACTCTTGGGCTTTATCTTTCCTGCTCCATCCGTGGAATCCAGTGGCTCTGGTGAGGGAGAAACCCTTTAGAGAGAACAGGGCTGGTGCTGCTCTCTGAATGTTTCCGTATTTGAAATACTCTCGCTGGAGACTTGTATTTTTTATCCCATTTTGTGACTGGTGCGTTCCACCGGCTGAGAGGAGCGATGGGAAGACCAACAGCTCCCGAGATGATGAAACCCAAACCAGTTTAAGGACGTGTTGGTCTCTGGGCAGAACTGAAGCGTGGATGGTGGTGGGGTGACCAGCTGCCTCTCCAGAGCTGTGCCCCTTCTTCCCAATCCTGCTGGCTATCTGCAGCTGTCTCCAAAAAGATGCTTTTTAGGAAGCCAGAATGTAAGAAGTCTTGCTTTTGGGGCTTTAAAACCCACGGAGGAGTAAGGACGGCCTCTCTGGAGGACAGGAGGGAGGGAGGCACTGAGCTGTGAGCCAGCACCCGTGGAGAAGTGCTAATCCCCTCCGAGCTGGGCTGTCCTGGCTCCCCCCGGGATCCCGCAGCCGGAGAGGCCACCGCTCCCACCACCTGCCTGTCAGCAGATTGCAGAGCCCCGCTCTCCCTGCCTCCCCGGCTGGCGGGGCTGTGTAAATATTAGGCTGTCCTTGTCGGATTAGATTTCCTCTTAATGACTTCCAGCGTTCTGACGAGCTGTGCTTGCTTCCTTGGCAAGCCCCGGTGCTGAGCTGAGCCGGCTCGGCTCTCGGAGTCCTCCCCCCCGGGGAGAAGCCCGGTGGCCTGCAGTTGAAGTCTGGGCTGAAATGTTTATTTGCTGCTTTTGTAATCCAGGAAGCCCCTTCAGTCTGTCGGGGGGTCCCTAAATCCCTGCTGTGGCATCGGGTGCAGCCAGAGCCCCTTAACCCTTCCCTTCCTGCAGGGGTGGCACCCGGAGACCTCTC